ATGTATCAAATCTGTTCTTCAGATGATCTCTAAATTCAGGTGGGATATATTCAAGGTCATATGTTGTCTCTCGTGGATTTGTTTTCATTTTCTTCGGTTTCAGTTGAATTTGCATATGAGTAATTGATGGTCTGCATCTGCATCTGCTCATAAATGTTGACTAGCTAGAGTAGGACAGGATGAAGGGGAGAAAGAGTCCTTCAGTGGGATCATTGGGGAGGAGAGAGCCAGTTAGCAAGATTGAGAGAGAAGTGGTGAGGGATGGGGGGGAGGGATGAAGGAGAGAGAGAGGAGAGGGGAGAGAGACAGAAATGGGGGGAGAAAGGAGAGAAAAGGAGGGGGAGGGGGATGGGAAAGGAAGGAAATGAGGAGAGGGGGAGAGAGAGGGAGGACAAGTGAGAGGGGAGTGGGGGAGATGGGTAGGTGAAAGAATGAGAAGGGGAGAGAGAGCTACAGGGGAGTGAGGGGGGCAGATGGGAGCAGCACAGGTGGGGGAGGGGAGAGTGAGGGAAAAGAGAGACCAGAGCTACTTGATGCAGGGAGGTGAGTGGGTGGGTGACACCTGACTGTCCCATACCCCAGATGCTTGTAGGGACACTTGGGCTGATTTGGCAGACTTGTTCTCTGGAAGATTTAAATATCGACAGGTGAGGTGTCATAGTCACATGTGCTGCCCTCATCACACCTCCCACAAGTGGGAAAGGTTTCTTGTTGGAACAGACATGTATTGTCTCAGACTTCAATGTTCACACCACTTCCCCTCTTGTCTGCTGACTGCTGGTGATCCTTGTGGTTCCTGTGCTCATAGAGGGTCCTCATGGGAAGTGTGTCTCCGCAGCCCTTTGACTAAGGCCCTACTCAGAGGTGATTAGGTGTAGGGTCCCCCCTCCTCTGCTATGTCCTCATTCACACAACATAGGAGACCCCTCTGAGCAGGGGTCAGCACGGCCCAATTTTTGTGGGGGCAGGGAGACCACAATTCCATTCATAGTAGGTAACATTTTAGTCATCTTTTCCAATTGAATCATGTATTGGGGGGCAGCCAGTGTCTGAGGTGTTTATCTGCTACCTTTCTCAGTCCTTTCCTGAGTGTCTCTGCCCTCTAATGTTTGCTAACCTTTGGTAACCCCTGCTTTTCCTTATCCCTTTTTTTTTTTTTTAGTGTTGTATTGTGAATTATATGATAGTTTACATGGGAGAACTTTAGTTTTACATTCATTCCATCGTATATCATCTCATTGCCATG